GCTCCTGTTGTTCCAATCACAGCTGTGAGGCTCCTGTTGTTCCAATCACAGCTGTGAGGCTCCTGTTGTCCCAGTCACAGCTGTTAGGCTCCTGTTGTTCCAATCACAGCTGTGAGGCTCCTGTTGTCCCAGACACAGCTGTTAGGCTCCTGTTGTTCCAGTCACAGCTGTGAGGCTCCTGTTGTTCCAATCACAGCTGTGAGGCTCCTGTTGTCCCAGACACAGCTGAGAGGCTCCTGTTGTTCCAATCACAGCTGTGAGGCTCCTGTTGTCCCAGTCACAGCTGTTAGGCTCCTGTTGTTCCAGTCACAGCTGAGAGGCTCCTGTTGTCCCAGTCACAGCTGTGAGGCTCCTGTTGTCCCAGTCACAGCTGTGAGGCTCCTGTTGTCCCAGTCACAGCTGTGAGGCTCCTGTTGTCCCAGTCACAGCTGTGAGGCTCCTGTTGTCCCAGTCACAGCTGTGAGGCTCCTGTTGTCTCAGTCACAGCTGTGAGGCTCCTGTTGTCTCAGTCTCAGCTGTGAGGCACCTGTTGTCTCAGTCTCAGCTGTGAGGCTCCTGTTGTCCCAGTCACAGCTGTGAGGCTCCTGTTGTCTCAGTCTCAGCTGTGAGGCACCTGTTGTCTCAGTCTCAGCTGTGAGGCTCCTGTTGTTCCAGACACAGCTGTGGAGCTTCTGTTGTTCCAGCACAGCTGTGAGGCTCCTCTTGTCCCAGTCACAGCTGTGAGGCTCCTGTTGTCCATCTGTCACAGCTGTGAGACCTGTTGACCCTCTGACATAGCTGTTCCAACTGTTTCCCTTCTTTCACAGCTGTTATAACTTTTGCCCTTCTTCTACAAGTGTTCGAACTGCTGTTCGGATGCTCCTCTGCCACAGCTGTTCGGTGGACGTGTTCCTTGGCCGGCTGACTTTATAAGTAAAAATGACTTATGTCGACTCAGAAAACTGTTGTTTGTTGTTCAAGCGAAGGAAATCAAATTTCATTTCAAACTTTTACCAAAATGTTTAAGTTCAGGGTGACAATATGTGGTATGTGGTAGCCAGGGTGACATGTGGTAGCCAGGGTGACATGTGGTAGCCAGGGTGACATGTGGTAGCCAGGGTGACATGTGGTAGCCAGGGTGACATGTGGTAGCCAGGGTGACAATATGTGGTAGCCAGGGTGACATGTGGTAGCCAGGGTGACAATATGTGGTAGCCAGGGGTGACATGTGGTAGCCAGGGTGACATGTGGTAGCCAGGGTGACATGTGGTAGCCAGAGTGACATGTGGTAGCCAGGGTGACATGTGGTAGCCAGGGTGACAATATGTGGTAGCCAGGGTGACATGTGGTAGCCAGGGTGACAATATGTGGTAGATAGGGTGACATGTGGTAGCCAGGGTGACATGTGGTAGCCAGGGTGACATGTGGTAGCCAGGGTGACATGTGGTAGCCAGGGTGACATGTGGTAGCCAGGGTGACATGTGGTAGCCAGGGTGACATGTGGTAGCCAGGGTGACATGTGGTAGCCAGGGAGACATGTGGTAGCCAGGGTGACATGTGTTAGCCAGGGTGACAATATGTGGTAGCCAGGGTGACATGTGGTAGCCAGGGTGGCAATATGTGGTAGCCAGGGTGACATGTGGTAGCCAGGGTGACATGTAGCCAGGGTGACATGTGGTAGCCAGGGTGACAATATGTGGTAGCCAGGGTGACATGTGGTAGCCAGGGTGACATGTGGTAGCCAGGGTGACATGTGGTAGCCAGGGAGACATGTGGTAGCCAGGGTGACATGTGATAGCCAGGGTGACAATATGTGGTAGCCAGGGTGACATGTGGTAGCCAGGGTGGCAATATGTGGTAGCCAGGGTGACATGTGGTAGCCAGGGTGACATGTAGCCAGGGTGACATGTGGTAGCCAGGGTGACAATATGTGGTAGCCAGGGTGACATGTGGTAGCCAGGGTGACATGTGGTAGCCAGGGTGACATGTGGTAGCCAGGGAGACATGTGGTAGCCAGGGTGACATGTGATAGCCAGGGTGACAATATGTGGTAGCCAGGGTGACATGTGGTAGCCAGGGTGGCAATATGTGGTAGCCAGGGTGACATGTGGTAGCCAGGGTGACATGTGGTAGCCAGGGTGACATGTGGTAGCCAGGGTGACAATATGTGGTAGCCAGGGTGACAATATGTGGTAGCCAGGGTGATGATGATGATGATAGGAATAGATAGAGAGGGAAGATAGGGTCCAGAGGGGAGAAAATTAATACCAAATGTTCATTGTGAAGATATATACTGTACCGTTATTATAGTTTCTGTACCTTTAAAGTTACTTAATCTACTTTCTGTACCTCTAAAATTACAAAATCTACTTTATCCCTAAAATTACAAAATCTACTTTCTGAACCCCTAAAATTATAAAATCCACTTTCTGTAGCTCTGTTACAAAATCTTAATTACAATTGTCACTTTAGGAAACTATATATAATTTTTTAAAATCTCTTAATCAATTATATATTAGCTTACTTCTCATATAGTATTTTTACCCATTTTTGGTTTAATTAATTCACTCATTATCTTGAGCTATGGTCGAAACGCTGTACATTATTAGTAAATTTAAAAATACACTAAATACTCTGCATTATAAATGGGAAATAGGAACCCATTCACCATCTTCTCGACTGTGACCAATTACCAAACATTTCACTGCATTAAAGACGATATCAAACAATGGGAATAAAAATCAGAATTTTGCATCAGACAGAAATTCAATATTGAGAAAAGATTTCGCCCAAAGACAGTATCTTTAAGACACCAATATCACCAGTTTATTGTTGTCGCCTCCAATATTCTCCTCTGTGACTCGTTCCCTTCAAACCCCAACGCTGGGAACTGGTACATGACGCGAGGGATCCACGAAGAGACCGCTCCGTCACATTTTCCACTACTTACGGGAATGAATGAGCTTCGCTAAGCGCCTAAGCAGGTGATTAACCCAAGGTTAGGTTCCAGGGTCACACCTTGTGAGGAGCAGGTGACACGTCCAAGGTCACACCGTGTAAGGAACGTTCTGTCATAATTCATTAATTAACATACTGATTAAATGTTCTAATTACATGAGCTCATTGTGGCTATTGATAACGTTCAAGAAACGTTCACAATATCTACATCCAGGATACCTAGTGCTAATATTCTCACTAAGATCTACCTGAGTGGCTGACTTCCTCAAAGTTTAGACTGTTAAGCTTCGTGACAATGTTGAAGACGAAGCCTATGGCAGTATCCACCACCCAATATGTGTATGTCAGTATCCACCACCCAATATGTGTATGTCAGTATCCACCACCCAATATGTCTATGTCAGTATCCACCACCCAATATGTCTATGTCAGTATCCACCACCCAATATGTCTATGTCAGTATCCACCACCCAATATGTCTATGTCAGTATCCACCACCCAATATGTCTATGTCAGTATCCACCACCCAATATGTCTATGTCAGTATCCACCACCCAATATGTCTATGGCAGGATCCACCACCCAATATGTGTATGTCAGTATCCACCACCCAATATGTCTATGTCAGTATCCACCACCCAATATGTCTATGGCAGTGACCACCACCCAATATGTCTATGTCAGTATCCACCACCCAATATGTCTATGGCAGTATCCCCCACCCAATATGTCTATGTCAGTATCCACCACCCAATATGTCTATGTCAGTATCCCCCACCCAATATGTCTATGTCAGTATCCACAACCCAATATGTCTATGTCAGTATCCACCACCCAATATGTCTATGGCAGTGACCACCACCCAATATGTCTATGTCAGTATCCACCACCCAATATGTCTATGGCAGGATCCACCAATATGCTGGCTGACTCAAAAACTCTTCACAATCTAACAACGTCAACTAAAGGGACATTTGTCTAACTAGAAGAGAATAATTTGTGTATTGTGTTCACCCAACACGGCACCTGGTCTTTGACGCTGATGTCTTAACATAACAAACGGAATGAATCATTTGAGAAGACAGGTTGAAGTAATTCGATCACCAGGTGATTAAGACACCGTAAGTGATTAGAAGTTTGACTTGTGTGATATATCTCACATCAACATCACATAATGCGTTAGAATTTTAACGCTCTCTTTGCCTCATCGTTAAAATTCGTGTGTTTTATGTGAAATTAAAAGCAGCGTAATATTAACGTTCTCTTGGACTAATGTAAACCGATAGATAGGTTTTGTCTAAGTTCGTACACTTCTGGGGCCAGATTCACGAAGCAGTTACGCAAACACTTACGAACGTGTACATCTTTCCTCAATCTTTGACGGCTTTGGTTACATTTATTAAACAGTTTACAAGCATGAAAACTTCCCAATCAACTGTTGTTATTGTTATAAACAGCCTCCTGGTGCTTCGGAGCTCATTAACTGCTTATTTATTGTAAACACAGCCGCCCAAATTGAGAAAAGATGTACAGGTTCGTAAGTGCTCGCATAACTGCTTCGAGAATCTGGCCCCAGGTTAGGAAAAAACACTTCGTATTTAACGTTCGCCAACTTGCAGGAACGAGTCGCATCAGCACGTGAAAACCACCGGAGTCGCACTTAAACGTACTACCTCGTGCTAATACTCCAGCGACGTCTCCTCCACCTCGAGGACGACTCCCGAGGCCCTGCACCTCCCATTCTAATAACGTTCGGCCTCACTCTACCGTGAACCAAACTCTCGCATCCTGAGTCAAATCAGTTTCTACTTATTTTTGTAACCTAATAGACGTTCGCTCCAAATGATGTCCAAATAGAATGGAAATGATTCGAAATCTTGTCTTAGCCAATCACAGGGGTTCTTCACCTGTGAAAACTGGCATTATACTGTGTTGACCAATTACAGCGTCTGTTGACTTTGGCCTGTCCAATCATGCGCCCCACCAGCACTCTGAGGACTCCATAACCCAGTCCTGAGAAGCTGTTGGGAGTTGCCTCCTTCGCTCTCTGGGGGATCAGGGGCTTATTGGGAAGCCTTGGGGCTTATTGGGAAGCCTTGGGGTTTCTTAGGAAGTCTTGGGGTTTCTTGGGAAGTCTTGGGGTTTCTTGGGAAGTCTTGGGGTTTCTTGGGAAGTCTTGGGGTTTCTTGGGAAGTCTTGGGGTTTCTTGGGAAGTCTTGGGGTTTCTTGGGAAGTTTTGGGGTTTCTTGGGAAGCCTTGGGGCTTCTTGGGAAGCCTTGGGGTTTCTTGGGAAGTCTTGGGGTTTCTTGGGAAGTCTTGGGGTTTCTTGGGAAGCCTTGGGGCTTCTTGGGAAGCCTTGGGGTTTCTTGGGAAGCCTTGGGGTTTCTTGGAGAGATTTGGGGCTTTTTAGAAAGATATGGGGATTTTGGGGAAGATATGGAGCATCTTAGAAAGCCTTGGGGATTCTTGGGAAAATGTGTGGTATCTTGGAAAGTCAGGGGCTTCTTTTTGTGTGTAAGTAATGTAAGGGTACCGCTGTCATCACGTCTTTGAGTCATACCTACCATTAACATGTGACTGGCAAGCATTATTTCATTTACGCTAGTAAATATCGGATATTATATATATAGAGTATAAATTTATATAAGGTTAATGTTATGTTTCATCTGAGATTTCTGTATTATTTTGGGCAAGCGAGATGTCACTCGGTTAGAGCTCTGACGTCATATCTATCAACGATGCTTTACAAGGTGACGTAGTGTAGCCAATTGAAGATGATCTGTGACGTCACGTGTCAGCCACTGTGCTCGTTATTGGGCAGTGGTCCGTCACTTGGGTATTTGACGTCATGGAACGTCGATATTCGACCTCTGTGCTCATTGAAGTCTTCATGTATTTGAGGTCTCAAAAGCATCACCGAATCCAAAATTTGAGTATAAATGATTTCCTTTGATGCAAGAACATCAAGAGAGCCCATGCAGTATTATGCATAACTCATCGATGGTAGCTAAAGGCACTACGGGCTCACCATAGCCCGTGCTACTTGGAACTTTTTTTTCCGGGTAGCGAATCTTTAACAACAACATCATCGATGGTAGAAGACATTCGATGCATCGCTGACTAGAGTCGAAGGTGAGGTAAAGTTACTGTGTCAATGACCAATTTTCGGATTGTCTTTGAATTCAGTAACAAGTCATCAGGTGTGTGTGGGAGAACGTGGATTATCGCCAAACACACACCGAAACTACGACGTTGGTACAACGTTCGAACAAGTTTTAACACTTCCTAACCAGTTATAACAACCAATATAGCAAGTTGTAACAACGTTCTAATACGTCATAAACACGTTAAGCCAAGATGTAACAACTTTATTACAAGTTGTAACAAGCGGAAAATAGAGACAATTTCGGTTTGTGTTTCCAGGGAATTATCTGTAATGTGTTGCATTATTCACGCCATACATCGTGCCGTGTAAGTCCCTAGACAAGTGGTCGAGTTGTTTACTTGGTAGGGCTACCGTCTGTGCTAATTGACGCTGCTGAGGAAGCTGTACCGTCACGGTGATATTCGTGTCAAAGAGCTGAGACACAGCGGCAGTGGTTACCCACTATTCAAAGTCAAAGAATCACCTCAGCGGAACAAGTAAGCAACGGTCCTTGGTGTGAACTCCCATACTACTGCATCATACCCAACAGTTGGTGTGACGTAGGTTTTTCATAGCCTTTTGAAATCTTCTTTGTCTAGGATTCCGTAGGAAATTCTGGACCAGCCAGGTTGTAATCGTTATACAGGCTTGCGGACCGTTGCAAACAACAGGCTCGAGGATTAAATTATAGCTAAACAGAGGATTATATGAGCTTCCAGAACCCACTCCAGGAATACACCCAGTTCCTGAAGGCTATCCTGATATAATCAGAATGTGTTCCTCAGACAACAGATTTAATGTGTCATGTACTCTGAGGTTCTTGCGGTTCACTGTTTCGGAAAGCTGCCTTGCTTGCTGCCTCTAGTGTCCTTGGGATCGTCTCTCCCCATCACCTATCCTCATTACTTTTAATTGTCGGGGTTAAAGGAAAGTAACCATCGATCAGATCACTGCTCGATCCCATTATGATCTCCATATTGGATTAATCAGTCAGCTTCGTTTTTAATTATCAATTTTGCATTAATTGTAAACATGGATACAGGTGACTATAACCTTTCCAGTTGCTGACATGTGTCAGCAACAAATAGAATGAGTTCCAATTTACCGATCCTTGAGGCACGCCAATTGTAACTAATCGCAAATTGTCTCAACTCTGTTCACTCTTTCTAATAATCTGATTTTCAAGCTTACACCTGAGGACTTTGCCCAATTCTTTCACGAAAATCCAGTCAGCACACCATTCTAAATCATGTTAAATCGTTATTTCATAATAAATCTCTAATATATTCGTTAGGCATGATCTAATATTACTGGATACATGATGTGCTTTGAGACAAAGCGAATTCTGATTTAAATGTTTCACGAGTCGTTCCCTGAAAAAACTTTCTAGACTCCTTTTAGGGAATTCTCACTAATGACACTTTGATGTAATTCAGTAGGCCCATTCTCCCTTTTTTCTTGTAAATAGGGACTTAATTGCCTCAATCCACTACCTACCCGGACCAAACGAACCATCTCTACACACCCAACTGGGGCGTATAAACATTAAGAGTTGTATCCTGCTTCTTAGTATGTGTACACTAAGTTTACTTGAGTTTACTACTACTTAAAGGAATACTGTACTAATAGCTCGGTAGACTATTCTAAACAGACAAAGAGCTTGGTTAGTTATCAGGGGAAAGTGCTAAGCGAATATGGATATATAGCACATGGAAAGGAATTTAAGGAGTGACAAAGAGGTGCTTCGAGGGAAGGAAGAGTGTCCAACCACATAGACCACAGGGAATCGAACGTCGACCTTGCAGGAAGCAATGCCGTCGCTCTATCGACCAGGCCAAGTAGTTGGACAAGGATATGGAAATAGTACGATTTCACCACCAACTTTCCGTTACTATTTAAAGAACTATGAAGGCGTATCGTATTATCGTTGCTGAATTTGAGAAAATTAGTGATAGAGCAGATAGAAGTTAGTTGTGTCATGCAATGTCACGAAATACAAGACAGATTGTTCCAAGCAGTGAAGAGTTTAAGCACAAGAGAAGGCGAATTGTTCCAAGCAGTGAAAAGCTTAAGTACACACAAAAGATAAATTGTTCCAAGCAGTAAAGAGTTTTAGCATACAGAGAAAACAGATTGTTCCAAGCAGTGAAGAGTTTAAGCACAGAAGAGAAGGCGAATTGTTCCAAGCAGTGAAGAGTTCCAACAAGTTGAACAAGATATAGACTAAAGCTCCAAGTACGGAGTCTGAGAAAACAGGACCGGACGAGGCCGTCTGACAACACACAGGAGGAACACACCGGCGGGGCAGTTCCACTGGTAGCAACTGAAAGAAACGAACGCATGACGTCACAGCCAGAAGACGACGGATGTCAGGCGGTGAGTGCACTCACCTAATTGTGCTTGTAGCGGGTTGAGCTTTGGCTCTTTGGTCCCGCCTCTCAACTGTTAATCAACTGGTGTACAGGTTCCTGAGCCTACTGGGCTTTATCATATCTACATTTAAAACTGTATATGGAGTCAGCCTCCACCACATCTCTGCCTAATGCATTCCATCTGTTAACTACTCTGACACTGAAAAAGTTCTTTCTAACACCCCTGTGGCTTATTTGGGCACTCAGTCTCTACCTGTGTCCCCTCGTTCGTGTTCCACCCGTGTTAAACAGTTTATATTAATCTACCCTGTCAATTCTTCTGAGAATTTTGTAGGTAGTGATCATGTCTCCCCTTACTCTTCTGTCTTCCAGTGTCGTGAGGTGCATTTCACTCAGCCTTTCCTCGTAACTCATGCCGCTTAGTTCTGGGACTAGTCTAGTGGCATGCTTCTGAACTTTTTCAAGTTTCGTCTTGTGCTTGACAAGGTATGTGTGTGTGTGTTTATGCGAACACTTACGAAGCCTCTATATCTCTCTCTTCAATCAAAACGGCTTTAAATACCATCGATTAAACAGTTAATGAGCTCCGAATTTATAGTGTAGAGCGGCCCTTCATCTCCTACACCGTGAAAACTATTAACATTGCTTTTAGTCAAAGAATTTCCAGTTAAGAAAGTCAACAAGAGTCTTGAGTGATCTGAACTTAAGGCTTAATTGACTTAATCTATTAAGGCTTAATAAAGCCTTTAAATAAATCGAAATTACTGCAAATCTACATCGGACTACTACCCTAAATATATATATATATATATATATATATATATATATATATATATATATATATATATATATATATATATATATATATATATATTAGTATATTTTGGTAGCAGTCTTTCCTGTAGACATATATTATTAAATATGACCGAAAAAGTAAGATTAATAATTCTAACACGAATTTTCTCAATCTTTCGTACATTACGCTTCACTGTTGGAGGTAAATCAAAAATCACTTCTCCAAAATTCATTTTTATTTCTAGTCTGACGCGACACGAGCGCGTTTCGTAAAACTTATTACATTTTCAAAGACTTCACAAATACACAACTGATTAGAACGTATCTCTGATTTTATATCTACATTTGAGTGAGGTGGGAAGGGTGATGTGGCATTAACACAAGACAGAACAGGAGGGGATATTAATAGGGTATTAAAAGTATCAACACAAGACAGAACAGAAACAATGGGTATTGAATAGAAGTGTTTGTAGAAAGCCTATTGGTCCATATTTCTTGATGTTTCTATATTGGAGCGGAGTCTTGAGGTGGGTAGAATATAGTTGTGCAATAATTGGCTGTTGATTGCTGGTGTTGACTTCTTGATGTGTAGTGCCTCGCAAACGTCAAGCCGCCTGCTATCGCTGTATCTATCGATGATTTCTGTGTTGTTTACTAGGATTTCTCTGGCGATGGTTTGGTTATGGGAAGAGATTATATGTTCCTTAATGGAGCCCTGTTGCTTATGCATCGTTAAACGCCTAGAAAGAGATGTTGTTGTCTTGCCTATATACTGGGTTTTTTGGAGCTTACAGTCCCCAAGTGGGCATTTGAAGGCATAGACGACATTAGTCTCTTTTAAAGCGTTCTGTTTTGTGTCTGGAGAGTTTCTCATGAGTAGGCTGCCCGTTTTTCTGGTTTTATAGTAAATCGTCAGTTGTATCCTCTGATTTTTGTCTGTAGGGATAACGTTTCTATTAACAATATCTTTCAGGACCCTTTCCTCCGTTTTATGAGCTGTGGAAAAGAAGTTCCTGTAAAATAGTCTAATAGGGGGTATAGGTGCATGTTGTGTTAGTTGTCTCTTCAGAGGTTGCATGGCTTTTCACTTTCCTTCTTATGATGTCTTCGATGAAACCATTGGAGAAGCCGTTATTGACTAGGACCTGCCTTACCCTACAGAGTTCTTCGTCGACTTGCTTCCATTCTGAGCTGTGGCTGAGAGCACGGTCGACGTATGCGTTAACAACACTCCTCTTGTACCTGT